TGACCGAGCAAAAAAGAAGCCACTTTTTGACCTCGCTTCAGCACATGTGCGCATGTCTTACGAATTATGAAAATTTTATAACTGACGTGAGCGCCGAAAAGGAACTGGTGGATGGGCTCTGCTAGCTCTTTCTTTACCCTAGCACCTCCAACTTTGGATTCATCGATTACTTGAATTCGCAGAAAGTTATTGATTGTAAAAGATTTATACAAAAAATCAATGTTCGATAATAAATTTTACAAGACGTTTTCTTCATGGAACTGAGCTTCTGCATACACTAGCCCGTTACACCCTTATTACGCAACCGGCGAAAGGACCTGACTTGAAATGCGCACTGTGGAGATTTTCTCGCAAAAACATAATTCTAGGGTGAGAACGTACCTCGACTTGGAGATTTTAGGTCTGAAATCTCCTTACACTAAAAAATTTATTAAAATTTGACACGCGTGAGAGAGCAAGAAACTTTCTCTAATAATACTAGCAATATTGCATTGAAGATCAAATCCTCTTAGGACAGCTGCTTCAAACATGAGGCAAATAAAACGGACAGAACTTATGCAGCAGCCTAATTACAATGCTTACACTCGTTTTTACCATATCCCACTTTCGCTAATTTTCAAAAATTTCATATGAAACTTTTGGAGGAGCCCTAATAACCAGCAGATAGGGCAAACCTTTTTCCAACAGAAGCAATTTTTTGTAGCTCTACGGCTTGTCCAGAATTTCTACTATTTATTTTTCGAAGTGACCAAATTTTACATTGAGCCTAATTTAACCTCGTTGAACATAAAATGTCAAACACTTCAGTTACCATTCGATGCAACTTTTTCTTCTCCTTATAACGCTTGTCTTTTTCTTTGCCGAGACAGGTGGTGGAGAAAATCGCAGTATTTCTGAATTTCAGGAGTGCGCACTGACATAACCTATGTTTCAAATCTTCATAATTTGAAGCGAAAATCGCTGATTTATAGTGTAATGGTAGCGGTGGTAATAATCGTGTGTTGAAACCTCAGTTTTCTGCAGGTTTTACAGTGTTTAGTAACAACAGATTATGCGATTCTTCCAAAACACAAGACTTTTAAAAAATTATTAGCAAAAATCTGAAAAAGCAGCTGAAAAAAAGAAAAAAATGCATAAGTTGGCAAAAGGTTTGCCCTATATGCTGTTTATTAGTACTCCTCCAAAAGTTTCATACAAAATTTTTGAAAATTAGCGAAAGTGGGACATGGTAAAAACGAGTGGTTGTAATTTTCAGTAAATATCTTGTCACTTTCTTATCAAAACACAATGGGAGTTTAGCAGCTGGAAAGGGGAAGAAATTCTGCATTGGATGCATTTTGAAATTGTTTATCTTCATTCTAGCGTGTTTGTCAATAGATTGAAAAAACTGAAAAAATTTTGCACCGACCTAATATTATAACTTATTCCACCACAAAATTTTACTTGAGTGACTCTAAGAAATACTGCGGTGAGTGCCTTCAAAATGCTTAAAGGCAGCGTACACCCAAAATCTAAGTTGCCCAGTTTTCTAGATCTTTCGATATGTATATACTGGGCCCAAGAAAAGACCAACTGCGTTGGTCCGGTCTCCCAATGTTGCTTCTAGGCGGAAAAAACCCCCCTCAATTTTCTTTCAATCCTCCCCTTTTCTTTCGCTCCGCCTCCTCCGGACGGATCCACAACAGCGTAAGCTGCAGTTGCTGTTGCAACAGCTGTTGCATCTGCAACCGCAGTTGCAACAGTGCAGTTGCTTTTTGCGGTGCGCCTCCTTCGGGCGACGAACCACGACAGCATATGCAGCAGTTGCAGTTGCAACTGCAGGCTGTCATGCTGTTGCAGATGCTGGCATGCCGACGCGGCCGAGCAGTTGAAAACTCGTCCGCCCTCTGGGAAAGGGTCCCCGGAAATCGGGGTTTTTTGGGGGGTTTGAAGAATTTCAATGTCATAACTGTAATCAGGGGCACGGAAAGGCCCCAGAATGACAAAAAAATCGAAGGTGAAATTCTGGGTGTACGCTGCCTTTAAGCTTGACCGCATTTTGATAATTTGTGCTTTGAGGCTGCAATTTCAAAATTGAGGAGTTTCTTGACAAAAATTAGTAACCACTGTGAAGAGCAGGAAATGATCCGTCATATGGTATTCATGATACAGCAATAAGTGCAAAATCGTAGAAATAGCTGCCAAAAATCGGACTGAACTTTCGAAACAGCCTAGTACTTCTTCTTCAGAAGCAACGACTATCCCTCCATCTACTCGCATTTGATTTGAACGAATACTTTAGCTATTGCGCTATTTGATATGAGAATGAAACGGATAAATATTCCAGAATCGCTTGCGGTATTCTGACTAAATAAAACTAATCAATGTTTCAAAATTTTTTGCTGATTTGTCATTTTCATTGCACTGTACACGTGTAAAATATTAGGTTCAATGTCTTTGCCAAGTTTCGGAATTGTCTGCCTTTGAAGAACTTTTCTTGCAACATCACTGTCTCTCGCAAGTGGCATAGGAATCTAAAACTTTCGATTTACCACACTCTCTTGATTGATTTGACCACCTTTATTCGAAGTGTTTGATCATTGCATAACTTGAACTAGAAAATTTTTCGGCACAGTCTTTTCGCCCTCATACGCATTTCATGTGGGATGAAAAAATTTGACCATTCTACCATCTCAAACACCATGACCTTGCCTTATCTCACAGCGCTTCCTGATTAGTCCGAAATGTCTAAGCTTCCTTCCAATATCTGTACAAACAAGAAAAATTTGCATTTTTAGTGCAGAGAAGAAATAGCTAATCTCAATATCTTTGAATATTGAATTTGATTCTACTGTTTCCTGCTTCAGCCTAACTTGCCTTTTCGTGTCAGACAGAGCTTGACACGCTCTGACATGAGTTCTCACGCTATGGTTTATATACATGTGTTTCATCATGCCAAGTGAAATTCACTACACGGCTGCTATTCCTCCATATTCTCTAATCTCTATGGACCATATTCTTTTCTGCTCTGTACTGCTACCTGCTGTAATTAGGAAAAACCTTGTTAATATCCCTTGTGTGCTACTCACACGGGAAGCTATCGTCGTCTCCCCGGCGTACGTTGGGCGGAGCTTTTGCGGACATTTCAACACGTTGGTGAACTTGTCAAGCCTCTACTCCAAACAGGGCCCGGCACCGATGGTTTGGGGTCAAACTGGACTTCGTTTTTGGAGTTAGAAGCAACGGGGACTTTTTATGAGGTTCTGGAGGAAGCGCCGAAAAAAACACGACGAACACGTCAGGTTTGAGTTGAGCGTGTTCTTTCGCAAGCGCGCGAATTTCAAATGCAAGACTCAAACAAACAAATGGCTTGTTTACAGCGCACAAACAATCACATGGCTCCGAATTTGGGCTGTGTGTACAATATTACTCCAAACAAGTTATGTAAAAAGTTTTAAAAACTTATGTGTCCTAATATCCGTTCTCGAATTTGTTGGTTTCTAGACCAACTCCAAACCAACTGGGTTGGCTCGGAGCATAAATATCGGAGAGTTCACATAAGTTTTGGACCTTTTTGATTTGAACGATTAGAACGCGATCAAAAATCTATCATATTGTGAAGAGAGCGGATCAAACCATTGCTTTTCCCCTTTTTTTGAGTCAAAAGTAGTATAATTCTACGCGTTGATAGATATCGCGCTCTAATCACTTGCGATGTCCTTTGAAATATGTGGCGAAAAACGCATCTCAGGATTGTTGAGGCTACAGATTTGTTTGGCCTAGGAGATTTTCGACATTCCGAGCATGAAAATGGTACTATACCCAATGGCAGAGCCTTTAATCGACTCGAAATGTTATCTTTTTGCTTTTTTGTTATATTACATACCTCAAAATGCGCTTTTTCCGCTTTTTTGTTATTATTTGGGTTGAATAAGGGTTTCCCTACTGATTTTCACGTCGAGAGGGACTTCGTAAATTTTCGCGAAGTCATGGGACTTCGTTTCCAAAAAACCTCAAAACCAACGCGTGCCGGGCCCTAACTCCAAAGCATGGTTCTTTGTACTCTCTAACCTGCCACGTTTATATGCTGTTGTCACACGTGGCAGGGTTGGTAGCGAGAGATCACAAAAAACAATGCCTCGTAGTAGAGGGTTAACAAGTTCACCAACGTGTTGAAATGTCCGCAAAAGCTCCGCCCAACGTACACTGAGGAGATGACGATACCTTTAGCTCGGCCTTTTGGCAAGGGACATAAATATATTTGAATCAGCTTCAAACGCTGATTCCACACTACTCCTAGCTGCCGGCAACATTCCGAAACAGTTACGGGCTTTTTCCTTCGAAAAATTGGCATACTCAGGAACTCACTGGCATCATGGCATCATCATCTAAGCGCTAATGCACTATGAGTTCCTTTCTAGTGGAAAGAGATTGGATTTGTGCTATTCCAATATCTCAGCACCTTTTCCTTGCAGATTTTTATTCACAGGCTCTTCCCATGTTCGGTAGTGCCAATTTTGCACAGGCAAGAGCCCAAAACTCGCTTCGGGATGGTGCGCGGCAGCTACGAATAACAAATTTTAACCATCGTTTAAAGCTGATCCCGATTATGTATGTCCTTGGTCAGAAGGCCAAGCTAAGTTAGGTGGCTTTCCTTATTGGTTACCACTAGATTGATGAAAGGGTGATTGTTAACCTATTCATCAAGGAACTCAGTCGGTAAGCGAAAACACTGCCACTGAGTTGAATCGATATATTATCGGTAAATCGTTATAATCACAAAAGGCATTGCTGGGGAAGCGCACCCAATAGCTTCGTTACCGATCTTGTGGATTAAGCCTACCCACTGGATTCGTTGATGAATACGGCCACAGGAGTATGTCAGTTCGAATTGCATCGGCAGTTGAAGTTCCTACTGGAAAGGGACTGGATTCATAAGGAAGATGCTACAAAATTGGAAAAGTCGCACCTGCTGCAAACGCTCATAATCTTCTCCTACTACCCTATCTACAACTACAGACATGTTCGCAGCCAGAATGGAAAAAGTTACGAGACAAGTCGACTCTGACCTTCAAATTACGCAACACATGGGTAAGTACTGAATTTAAACGATACTCAACGTTTCCAATCATGTAGGTCCTTTCCTAATTAATTTTCAGTTATGTTCAAAAAACCGGAACTTTAGTAAACGTGGCAGTTATTCCTCGTAACATTATCCAGTTTTTGTACAGGACTGCTTGACCAGAGAGTTCTCCGATGGACTCCTTCCGTCTTGCCTATTGAGCCTTCACATTGGGTTCCTGTCAAAATCTACCACACTAGTGGTAGTGTTTTGGATTTACCAGAGTCCATTCCTGCTTTACCAGGACCAGGGAAGATGGGCTTTGGAATTGAAGTTGACGTTTGTGGTCCACATATTCAGTCGACTCGTCTATCCTCGCATTTGTCAGAACCGCGTATCAAACGTTTTTCTGATTGTTGATTATTCCTTCATTATAGTCACTGGTGCTCAGCTCTACTTGGATGCTAGGGCGTTCTTTCTCTGCATCCCGCAACGCTAGCAAGGTGAACGCAAGTAAGCCGGAAACGAAACACCGTTTTTTGGCTACTTACACAGAGAAGGTCGCACAACACCATCAGTGCGACAGTGTGAAGCCACGGCCTCTGAAGACGACAATTGGTGTCGAAACGTAAGGCCACTCTGCTAATAAAGCTTCACCGAAAATACTGTTGGCATAAATATAAAACACTTCATAAAATCCATGCCGAAATTCAAACAAAAGAAGACATGTAATCTACATTCCTTGAAGATTTCATTGGTAGTCAAATTATGCATTTGTACTGCACAGAGGAAAAAGAATATGAAAATTTCATAGGGAGTGCAGAAGGAAACATGATCACATGACTATTAAGGTAAGCTGTGCCCAACCAGTATATCCTACCGTCAATTAGCCTCATTCGAAGTTTAGAAATGTATTTCTCAAGCAGCTGTTTCTGTTCTTACAATTTCGAGCTATGATATCTTAGTCGGGAACGAAATTTACGAAAGCCTCTTTGAAGGTCATGCATGCACTGTTGCCAATACTTCCACGGATTCACTTAAACGCTTGCCTTCGCAATTTATAGATGCTACGAGGATCAAGCTGTCTGGCAAAGCTTCGGCTCCAAACCGCCAAAAAACCAAAGTACTCCTGAATTGGCTTCGCCTTCCGTAATGGAAGACTGGGAAAATGCTCTAAGGAGTCGCAGCGCAAAAAACAAACTTTCGCTCTCATTACTTACTAAGAAGGCTTGGAAAAGACGAAAAAGTGAAACTGCTTGTTCATTCATAACAATAAAGCATTTTGATTTAAGCGAAGGGCTACCAAATTCATATAACATACTGGATTTCTATTCCGGAAGGAGAATATGCGAATGAATGGAAATGACTCTGGATTCAATACATAACACTGAGGGTGCATATAATATACTTACATTTACCTTAGAACGTGGGCTGTCTAAGATGAAATTTGTAATTCGTAATAAATCCTCTAATGACACTTATGTAAGAGAGAATAGAGATATTTCCAAGAGTATATGGGTTGAGAAGTGTTCCTTGAATGGGTCCGTATAAGGCCCAGTGAACCCATATCGCAAAAAGATGGATAATCTACTACAAGACTCAGCTGAGGACACTGCAGTAAAATTCATTAAAATGAGTGTTGAATTGTGTATCACTTCAATGATTTACCTGAAGATATCAAAGATTCTTCCTGGCCGCACCTACGGGTAAGAACAAGCATATACTAACTATAAGGTGGCTCATTGAATATTCTCTATGTAATGCCGAATTATTTGAATAAGGTTGAATATCATATGCTTTTCAAGGTTTTTTATGCAAATGGTAGAATCCATTTGACTATGACAGTTTGAAATGAAATATATTATGCTTCGAAAGAAACCAATGACATTACAAGACGAAGATAAAGGGTAAAAAAACATGAAAAATGGTAATTAGTTAAAAACAGGTTACTTTGAACTGTTCACCAGAAGAACAATGAAAGAAATGCATTTGAGGAGAAATAAAAGATGTATGGAAATAAGATAAAAACGGGATTTCTGACATCGATATGAGCAAGTCTGACTTGCCAGTTATTTCACTTTTGAGTGATGAAGGTTGTTGTGGACTGTCATCATTAGTGAACGTGTGCCTGAAATGTAATATTTTTCGATGGTCTGGAAGGTACTACTCCCAGATCCGAGGACTAACTATGGGTCAAAGGCTAGCATCAGCTCTGGCAATTTCATGAGTGAAATCGAAAAGCCTATGCTTAGTCGAATGCTTTCGACGTATTGTCGGTACATCGATGACTGTTGTTTGGTAACCGCGACTTAGCCGAAATGGACGAATGCTACAAGATCCTCAACGAACAGTCCGAACATCGAAGTCACGCGCGAAAAACCACGAGGAGGATGGCTGCTTACCTGAATACGTTGGTCAAATTGCCAAATGGCGTTGTGACAATGAAATGGTATCGTAAGAACAGTTGCAAAAATATCCTATCAACGTCAACTCCGCACATAACATGTAAATCAAACGTGCTGTAATCGGAAACATGTTTGAAATGGCGACAATGGTGTGCTCCGGAGAGGATTGTGAGCAGAAGCACCCCTATTGAGTTTGATAGTCATGCTTTTTAGGGCGTGGCTGATACGCGCGGGGTGCGAGGAGAAACTCCAACGTCTGGCCGGTGTCGGTAGCGCCTCTCCGGTGATTTCTCTGGGCTGCTGTTTGTCCCGTCATCATCGTCAACTTTGCAAGCTAACAGGATCCAGTAGATTTATATTGTTTATATTCATATACTGTCTTCGTCGTTAGACCAGTGAACCGTATTACTCTCAACGTGTAGCTTAGCATTAATAAAGCGCACATTATCTTACTGGTAGCATCGAGTGGTTGCCTAGATGGACGAGAAGGACGGTCAGCTTGGGTAAGTTGAGTTTTTGAATGAGTTTGTTATTCGTCAACTTCGAAAACCGGTCATTTTGAAAGCCGACATTCTGAAAGTTAGGCAGAGGCATCTTCACGCTTTGGAATTTCTCCGAGCGCTCCTTTTGTTTAGCAGGCTTTTGTTTACTGGCGTGGTACACGCAGACGTCTGCAACACATTGCGGGATTGAATGCCTATTGTGGTTTCAAAGCTTCGAAGAATTCTGTTTATTTGAAAGGGCCATGAGGCAGGAGGGCCAAGAGAACTCCCCCCCCCCCCAATAAGCGACGGATACGGCGCGCCCCGGCTTGCAAATAGAAGTATTAACGGAGGGTAGGCATGGTTTACCATGCAGTAGTTCGCTGAAACGTTGCAAATCTTTCGGCCCAGGAGGAGATTGAACCCAATGGGCTACCGCGAGACAGGCATACTTGTGCTGTGCCGTCCGCCTCTCGATGACATATGCCCTCCTAAGCTATTTGATCCTGCTATCAATGAAGATCTGACGTCTATGGACGCATTAGTGGGTGGCGATAAGTCGCGAGCCTGACAAGACTTGTTAGGGCATGTGTTGAGCGGTATCGCTCGTTCGTCTAACTTTTTATTGAGCGGTCAGACCCTTTCCTTCTCTTATTATCCAAGCTATTCATCTCAACGACAGAATCCCTAATTTCCCTCTCCTGCGTCTTGATCGTCGGCAGCAGCATCGGACGTCCACAGGATGATGTTATCCCTCAAAAGTTGCATGATGAGCGTGGAGTTCTTGTGCGAAGCTTCGTTAGGTATCAAGCTCAGCAGCATCATCGAATGCCTGCTTCGCCAACTGTGAAGACTCATCGGGTGGGGCTGCTTCTTGTCCCTGTCGAACGCCTCCTGGTATGACTGCTGCGACTTGTTGACAACCGAACTTCCATCTTCTCCAGAGGCGATCTCAGACAGGTATCTGTGGTAGTCTCCTTCATTATCAGATAACCTTTCAACTTGTATAGTCCTTTTTACCACAGTCCGTAGGAACAGGTTTCAACACTTTCGTGCTACTTTTCAAGGGGCACCATACCGTGGCAGTAAGGTCGTCTGTATTGTGGATTCAATTTGCAAGCAGCGTACGAAAATCTAATGGTCGTGGCTGAATCGTGTCATAATGTTTCTTGCGCCATTCGCTTCTCTGAACCTTCGGTCTCCGTTTAAGCTCGTAATCAGCTGTGTCGATGGATTCGCCGGCTTATGCCGATCCATCCTGATGAAGACCTCCTTCCAATCACGGTTCACCATCTCCCACCGCAGGAGGTAGATTTTCTCGAGGATCGCGCTCGTCGGTTCCAATCATTTTTCGATGATACACCTCTGGCAAGCAGAAAATGCGCGATTTAAACAACGTGGCGTGTTCGACACTTGCTTCAATCAATTCTTTGTTCGACGACCGCCAATACCCTTACGGCGTCTGTTTCCAACATGACAGCTGGTCCGATCGTGATCGACTTCGAACACCATGAGATGGCTACCGAAGCGGGCTGGACAGTCAATCGCCCAGTCATTTTGTGGTTTGCTGGGTCATCTATGATAGCCCGCAAAGGTTCGCGCTATAGACGACGGTTCTGAATCGAAAATTTTAGCTGTATGCAATAGTGCTTTTTCTTGGTTTCACGGTTCCATCATGAGGAATGTTCAGCAATTCGCAAGGCGGCTCGACGGCGTCACCTTTCTAGACATTTGTGTCCTTCTCGGCAAGCCACTCATTACTGCCGACTCTACGTACGAGTGTGTCTCTAGAATGGACCTATACGAGAACCTTAAACGATCCACCACCGCAAGTCGGATAATACAAACCACTTACGGGCTGCGTTTCCTGGATTGCGCGACTAAGGACGAACCAGCACTGTCTGGTCCTATAGATGAGGGTTATCCTTGCAGCCTCAAAGGTAGAGAAGTAGTAATCACGGAGAATCAGCACAAAGCCTTAGCCTTGGCTCTCAGCGCCTACCAACAGTCGCCATACAGGCGGTTTAGGACTGGTAAGACCGTTGTTGGCGTTTTAGCAGCTGCCCTAATTGCGAGGAAAACTCCGGTATTAGTGACGGCTTCCACAAATGCTGCCGTGGCTCAATTTGCTGAGACATTATTGTCCCGAGATAATCAAAGTCATCTCGCCGTGGTTCGTCATTTATCGGATACGGCGGCAGCCGAGAATATCTCTCCAACTTCGGCCGATTTGGGAGAACTTCTCAAGAAACTTGGAAGTCGGTATGCAGAACATTTGACCGTTGACGTGTTGGATTTGTGCAGCGCCTTTCAGTCAGGAAGGGAAGTTCTCAAACGATATCTAGACGACCCTGATCTCCTGTTTCGCATGACGGAGGAGGATCGGAAAGAGTATTTCATCAGTGAAAGATTCGTCTCAAGGAACTTGCAGAAAATGGTCGACCTGTCAACTGTAGATTTCGTCCAAGGACATGAAAAATGAGTTAGTTATCATTCTTACGACACGTACTAATGTTGATCCTAATTCAGCGGAGTTTTTGGACGACTACCGAAGGATGAATGTGGCAATTTCGCGGTGCCGTCATGGATTCATCCTGGGACATGTCCGAATGCTACAAAAAATCTCCTACTGGAACAGGGTTATCAGTTGGTCGACCTCGATAGGAGCCATCGTCAGCCGATCTGACCTAAGCCGGTTTTTCTAAAAACTCTTTTGGAAAATAACGATGAGTGCTCCTTCATACCTGTTCTCATTATTTGTATATAGCTATTTATTTATTTCCCTTGCCGTTTTATTCATTTCAGCATTTGTTTCAAGTCCGGGACGGACTTAAAATAAAGCGGGGAAGTCTGAGCACAAGCACCCCTATTGAGTTCAGTACTCAGTCATGCTTTTTAGCGTGGACGATGCGCGCAGGGAGAACAACTTCCGGTCGTCGACCTGTAGCGCTCCGGTGATTTCTCTGGGCTGCTGTTTGCCCCGTCATCATCGTCAACTTTGCAACCTAATAGGATCCAGTAGATTTATATTGTTTATATTCTTATACTGCCTTCTGTCGTTAGATCAATGAACCGTATTACTCTCAACGTGTAGCTTAGCATTAGTAAAATGACATCATTTTACTGGATGAACGCCGCGAAGCGCGAAACTTGGCCTCACAAATATCTCGCAGTAATGGTGATTCTGTATCTACGCGAAGGCGACATCCCATACACAATGATCGGATTCAGAATACCAACAAATTCGCACTAGATTTGCCATTTATATCCGATAAAATCTCCTCTGCCTTCCACCAATGCACTGCTCGCGCGCAGCTACTTGATGGCGTCGTTCTAGCCAGCATACCAAACGAGAATCTCAAGAAGCAGCTTGTGCAAAATTTCTAGGACCGACAATCTACAGGCCCCGTAAAATCCAATTGCCCACGCGTCGCTCTAAACACCAACGCGCGGCGCGGCTGGAAACGTTTGATCCAAGCGCTACAGGATTTCTGCAAGCGGCAGTGAGCGCGCACCCTTTCCACACATATTTTTTCAAACTTTTGAAGGGAGCTTCCGTCAAGATATACCTTGCATTGACGAGAACAACATGGAAGTCAAAGAAGGTTTCTTGGAATATAATGAACGCCGACAGTCGTTCGCGACCGCTCGCTTGCACTGATGTTCAAGGCACGGCGCGGGCAATTAGGTTTTACGGCGCCTTTATAATCGAGCAGTGCATAGTATGCCAATATGGCAAAGAGGGAGGGAGATTGTGCAAAAGTTGGAGTTGTATACCCGACTGAACCCTTGATTGCTGCGCACTTCTCGCCTCTATGTGTCAGTCAGTACCTTGCCTCCGCTCTGTTTTCAGTCGGCATGCTTACTTGTTCCCCCCCCCCCCCTTCGTCCCCGCTGTGCCAACTCTCACTCCAGTAACTCAGACTTTGCAAAAAAATTGATAAAACCGATAATGTTTGATGATATCTAATTTCAAAAACTAAAGTTGTATTCGTAATTAGCATCTCGCTCAACCCTGTATCATGTCCCACCCTGTAAGTCAAATTGCAGTAAGTTTGAAGTCGAAAGATTGATTAAAGTAATTGATAAATAATCGAAAGGTGCCCCTGCGCGGTGTACCTCCTGACTATAGTTAGCACCGAATATTCGTGTTCGAATAATTTATTCGAAATATTCGACTATTCGAATATTCGAATATTCGAATATTCGAAAAAGTCCATTTATTCGATTATTCGAATAGTCGAATAAATGAGAAAGGCCCATATTCGAATAATTCGTTCATTCGAAGATTTCAAAAAATGACTTATTCGAATATTCGTTCATTCGAGGAGTTTTAAAAAACGGTTATTCGAATATTCGTTCATTCGAGTAGTTTTAAAAAACGGTTATTCGAATATTCGAATATTCGAGTAAGTGAGAAGAGTATATATTCGAATATTCGAATGTTGAACTGTTCATTTGTATATTCCATACGCGAGCAAATTTCTTGAAACATTCATATTTTGTTTGAGTAGACAGAATAGCTCGCTGCGCTTCATCGCACACTCCTGTCCAAACGATCAATATATGCGCTAACAGCAGTTTCGCAATCAAGCGCGCTGTCTTGCTAGGGCAAGCAAACCTGGACTGCGTTTCATCACTAACGTTTCTTTATGTCTTTGCTCAGTCGGTTCATTATGTTTCACGCATTGAGAACCAGTGACGTTTCCCGTGAAAGAAACTTAGTTTGGACTACTTTGCTTACTATTCTACTCCACTCCACCTCTTTCGACGACGCCATAGTTTTGAGAAATTTTGTATCACTATAGCAGAATAAACGCACTGTTTCAGATTGGCGATGAAATTCGTTGTGGGACCACACGGTGAAAGGCGTCAGCTCGATCCCCATTCAAACCACGTGAGTCTTTTTTTTGTCCGTAAATCTTTTATCTCTTCTTCTCTGTTGCGCTTCGCCTCTAGTATTTGACTCTCTTTCAACTCCTATACTTGCCCAAAAGTGATGCCCTACTTTTTTGCATTGCTCTAGTAGGGCTTTTGTTGAGATTGTGATTGTTACTGTTATTATTGATGATTGTCACTGTCACACGATGTTCATTGACCGCACGGACTGCTCAACGTTGCGGACTAGCACGGAGCGGCTGATACGAATCACGGACTTGCAGTCTGTAGCGGTGCAAACTTCTACCTCGCTCCGTGCTCCCACTGATGTCCAGTCCGTGCAGTCGACGAACGACTCTGTGTGATTGAGCTGGACTTACTGCTGGAAGGCGACAGAATTGTTGAAACTCTTGAGCTGGGCATACATCATGCATTTTCATCGCCTCACGATTCTTTGTGACAACTATTGCAAGTCCAGTGCATGCCGACCAGCATGCATTCCGGTTTGATAGTTTTCTACTCTACTAATCGGGAATAACTATCACAACCAAAACGAAGAATGATCAGTAATCAATGAACTCGTAACGGCTATCATGTTGGGAGAATCGGCAATGAAATTGCATGATATATGCTGTCTCTTTAGTTCAAAGGACGTGTACAACAGGACATACTCTCTTCCAACTGTCCTATACTTGCCCAAGAAGTGATACACTACTTTTTTGCATTGCTCTAGTAGGGCTTTTGTTCATGATTGCCACTTTCACATGATGTTCGTTGACCGCACGGACTGCTCAACGTTGCGGACTAGCACGGAGCGGCTGATACGAAGCACGGACTTGCAGTCTGTAGCGGTGCAAACTTCTACCTCGCTCCGTGCTCCCACTGATGTCCAGTCCGTGCAGTCGACGAACGACTCTGTGTGACTGAGCTGGACTTACTGCTGGAAGGCGACAGAATTGTTGAAACTCTTGAGCTGGGATACATCATGCATTTTCATCGCCTCACGATTCTTTGTGACAACTATTGCAAGTCCAGTGCATGCCGACCAGCATGCATTCCGGTTTGATAGTTTTCTACTCTACTAATCGGGAATAACTATCACAACCAAAACGAAGAATGATCAGTAATCAATGAACTCGTAACGGCTATCATGTTGGGAGAATCGGCGATGAAATTGCATGATATATGCTGGCTCTTTAGTTCAAAGGACGTGTACAACAGGATATACTCTCTTCCAACTGTCCTATACTTGCCCAAGAAGTGATACACTACTTTTTTGCATTGCTCTAGTAGGGCTTTTGTTCATGATTGCCACTTTCACATGATGTTCGTTGACCGCACAGACTGCTCAACGTTGCGGACTAGCACGGAGCGGCTGATACGAAGCACGGACTTGCAGTCTGTAGCGGTGCAAACTTCTACCTCGCTCCGTGCTCCCACTGATGTCCAGTCCGTGCACTCGACGAACGACTCTGTGTGATTGAGCTGGACTTACTGCTGGAAGGCGACAGAATTGTTGAAACTCTTGAGCTGGGATACATCATGCATTTTCATCGCCTCACGATTCTTTGTGACAACTATTGCAAGTCCAGTGCATGCCGACCAGCATGCACTCCGGTTTGATAGTTTTCTACTCTACTAATCGGGAATAACCATCACAACCAAAACGAAGAATGATCAGTAATCAATGAACTCGTAACGGCTATCATGTTGGGAGAATCGGCAATGAAATTGCATGATATATGCTGGCTCTTTAGTTCAAAGGACGTGTACAACAGGATATACTCTCTTCCAACTGTCCTATACTTGCCCAAGAAGTGATACGCTACTTTTTTGCATTGCTCTAGTAGGGCTTTTGTTCATGATTGCCACTTTCACATGATGTTCGTTGACCGCACAGACTGCTCAACGTTGCGGACTAGCACGGAGCGGCTGATACGAAGCACGGACTTGCAGTCTGTAGCGGTGCAAACTTCTACCTCGCTCCGTGCTCCCACTGATGTCCAGTCCGTGCAGTCGACGAACGACTCTGTGTGTTTGAGCTGGACTTACTGCTGGAAGGCGACAGAATTGTTGAAATCTTGAGCCGGGCATATATCATGCATTTTCATCTCCTCACGATTCTTTGTGACAACTATTGCAAGTCAGTGCATGCCGACCAGCATGCATTCTGGTTTGATAGTTTTCTAGTATAGGACAGTTGGAAGAGAGTATGTCCTGTTGTACACGCCCTTTGAACTAAACAGAACTACTGATCGGGAATAACTATCACAACTAGAATGAAAAGTGTTCAGTATTCAATGAACTCTTAACAGCTATCATGTTGGGAGAATCCGCGATAAAATTGCACGATACATGCCCGCTCTTTAGTTCAGAGGACATGTACAACACGACGCTCTGATCCATCATAGCTTGCAGCGAGAACAGCTTACCTCGATCACGGTAAGTGTACGGTAGGGGGTCAAGAGCAGATCAGTCTAGCCTTTTGCACCCGGAGGTTTTTTGATATGCCGATTTCATGTACCAACCTTGAAGTTTCGTGATTTTTCTCAATCATGAACTGACTTGAAAAGTCGCAAATGATTTTCGTGATTGTTGGTATTCTCTGAGAACAAGGATCCATCAATTTACTGCCTCCTTCAGTAACTCCACGAAATCGCTTTATCATGTGTGTCAAAGATTTCGAACTTTCACAGATCAGATTTCGGTGACATCCAAGTTTTTGAAATTTTTGGATGGATAATAGAATAGTGCCACTATTCTATTATCCATTCAAAAACTGAAGTCAAGCACATCTGTTCATATCTTTCACAGATGTGAATGTAATTGACAAGTCTATCTATGTGGCTACCACTATGTGTTTATCCCAAGTTGCTGCCGTGATGCATCCCTTTGCTCTTCATTGATTCCATAATCAGTCACATGATAGCTGGATCTCTACTCAACCTCAAGTGCCGATACACGAATCTGGAACCCTACCGAAGTGGGGTGAGGGCTATCTCTCCTTTCTGGATTTGAAGTGTTATGCATAGGATCCCACAAATTCTTTGAGAAAATCGTCACACACTTTGGGGGGGGGGGGGGGTAAGAAGGATGACGGTGGTTGGTGTGGATGATGGCTAAGGATGGATGTCTCTTAGCTTGTAGTGCGTAATGATTGAATTATCTTGTTTTTACATCTGCATATGAAAACTTTGAAAGTAGAGTCTACGTCAAGTATAACAAAGGTGTTCCATGCTGGCATTTGAGGTCGAGTATAAACCCAGTTCATACCTCGTCTTGAGTCATTTGTTTCTCATGCAAATGTAAAAACAAGACAGTTTCTTGCGTCACCATATCAAAGCTTGTTTTTAGATTGGGCCTGTGCAGCCGGGTAGTCCAAAAGCGGGCAGAGTAATCGAACACAGTAAGTATTGTTTAGTATAGTAATCGCTGAGCACGAATCAAACTTAGTAATCATATTTTCAGAAGTTGTACGTCGGAAAGGAATCGAAAAGTCAAAACTCAAAGGAATCACCAAACACGAGAGAAGTGAGTTTTTCAATCCACAGTTTCTTAGCTTCTAACTACTTTGTTAGGTACAGTCCAAAGTTTTGGCTGCAAATGCGCCTTGTCAAACATATTTTTTCCGTCAAAGTCGCATAAAAAGAGTGCGCGCAGTCAAGCTAGCTGGAAAAAGCCAAACAATCGAAAAAAATTTCAGCGGTGTCCGAAATGAGCGTAGTGTGGGATATGTTTACTAGGATATGGGATGAAGAGGGTAACGGAGTTGCGGAATGTAAAGTGTGCAAAAAGACAATGAAAATACCTCACTCGAAAACTACCACGAATCTGCTGTTGCACCTTAGCGAGAACCACAAAGTGGAGCTTGAGAAAGCCAGGGAGGAAAAGAAGTCGAAAATTCCTGCAAAACCGGTCAAGCAACCGTCAATTCGTACCGCCTTTCTCCCTAAGATGAGCAACGAGACGCGACGAGTAGTCAACACTCACTTAGCGATGCTGATAGCAGATAAATCGTTATCTCTATCACTTCCGACGTCGAGAACGTTCCGGAAGTTCGTTCAATCGCTGAACTCGTCGTATACGCCACCTTCGAGGAGCACTTTGGTGAATATCATGCATGAGAAGGTCAATGAGATTGATCAGGAGAACAAGGATTTACTGTCAAATGCCGAGGCTGTGGCAATAACTGCTGATTGCTGGAGTTCATTCAATTGTAATGCAGGACTACTCACCATAACAGGACATGTTGCTGGACCAGGTCACACCTCTCGCGCAAACGTAATACTCGACTGCGTATCACTTGGGTTTGAAAGGTAAATATCGTTAGATTCAGCGAACACCGTCGCATTCAAAGTAATTTAGTCACACCGCTGATGTCATATCTGGGCATATACGAGCAAGTTTGCAAAGATTATCTGTCGACGGTGAAAAAATCTGTGCCCTGGTAGCGGACGGCGCTTCAAATATGAAGAAAGCAGCTGCAGAGCTTAATGTGAAATAGTAAGTGCTAAAACTCTGCCGATTTATCAAAACCATTTTCCATTATTTCAGTTTGCAATGCGGTGCGCATCTTATCAATCTTGCAGTTCGAAAAGCTCTAAACTGCGAACATGTAGCTCCTCTGATAAATAAATGCAAGTCCATCGTCACTAAACTAAATCGTAGCAGTGTCCTGAAGGGATTATTCAGAAGGTACATACATATTTAACGAACGACGGATAGTAGTGTCGGTGTTCAGCTACCTAGACGAATTCAATCTCCCTAAAATCACACCAAGCAGCGATTGTCCAACTCGTTGGGGGTCGACATATGCTATGATATGTGACGTCATTTCTACGGTATGCCCGACAGGTTTTACCACTGTAGCCCCATATGTTTTGTATGCAGAGAGCGGCCCTAGACAAGTTGATGGAAAACCAATCGGACCCTTTTGACGACGAAGATATTAAGTCATTGAAGTCCGTCAAAGTTTTTTTGGAACCATACTACGAACTAACAAAAAAGGTTGGAGTTTACGACAAATCTGGTTACAATTTGTCAATCTCGACATTCTCAGATGTGCGCTGCGGATGCCACTAGCTCTCTTTTACTCGCCGGGGGAAAGTTGTTGCTTGCGAAAACAGAAAGGTATCTTAGGGAAGCTTCATGTTTCGAGTACAGAATACATTTTCAGTACTTGCAACGAGCCTAGGACCAAAGTGAAACAATTCGGAAATATTCTCCTTATGGAGACAAGGCGTCAGTTCGCGCCGTCTTTTGCCGATGAGACACTTCGAATTTCAACTCTTCTTGATCCGAGATTTGCCTTTCTTGAGAGGATCGCTTCCTCCGAGGAATGGAAAACAATTGTAGAAAGACTCATTGAACTTAGACGTAAGGACCCTCCCTTTTTTGACATTGGTGCCACATCCGTTTTCCAGTAGGTCATTCAAACAGCCAGGAATCGCAGGCAGAGACCGTGGTGTGCACTGCGAAAGAGGGGACTACGTCATTCTGGGACCCAATCGCGGATTCCGAAAATGAACCAGTTACGAAAAGGTGCCTACTATCAGATAAAGGAGAAGAAATGATGGTAAGAGACGTCCTGTTTATTTACTTGCAATAACTGACCAATTTAGATTGAAATCCAGCAGTATTCAATACTGCTGAAGAAGAATCGCCCTGAGAAGAATTTGTCACCTCTAGTGTGGTGGAAGAGCCACTCCCAGGAATTCCCGCTTCTATCAAAAGAAGTCGCGCAATTTCTTGTAATACCTGCAACATCTGTTGATTGCGAGAGATTTTTCAGGTAAGTTGACCTTGGCATGGCTTTATTGATTAACACTTTTGCAGTCTTGCCGGGATAGTGTATGGAAATAAAAGGCGCGGGCGGCTGAGTGGCGAACACGCACGACTTCTGCTGATGTGCAAGTGCTACGCTAACAAGGAAGTCGGAAGGTAAACTCATGTTACAGCAAAGGTACTACGAGTATTCTATATAAGTGTCATTTAGGGAATGCAAGTTTTGGAACGCAAGCGAAGTAAGGCGTTATGCACGAACAGTTGAAGAAGATGATGACGACACGTCTTCCTCAGACAGTGCGAACGACGACGCCACCACTACTTCTGACCAAGATCTTGAACTCGATGATCTCGAAGAAGTCGAAGAGGTCCTCTGATCTGCATCAGTTTTGCAAATTATTTTATGCATCGTTTTGTTATGATTATTACCATCAATTTTGATCTGTATTACCTGATTTGTTCTGCAGGAATATGTTGTTTTGTTGCCTTTCTGACCGATGGTCTGGTTTCTTGATGGCTTAATTTCTTACTGAAACTGGCTTGAGTTTCGAAGCGTTTTGGAGTGACTTATGCTTTGAATTTTGATCAGTTTCATCTTTAGTTGTTTGGTTCGATCAGTTAAGAATGAATGAGTGGTTAGCAACTGAGATTGGAGTTTCCAAGGAAGCGAAGTCTGTTTTCTGAGTTACTGGTCATTTTTATGAGGCAACCTTATTTCGCTTATGTATCTCGGAGAGAAAATAGCTACAAAACTTTTCCGGGCTTGTCCCAGTTTGTTCTTCAATATGGCAAATGCCTACGATGAGACAATGGAGCTCCAATGAAGACTGACCTTTCACTCTAGGATGGTGGAGCCTTACGGTCATAACGTCAGTTTACTCTTATCTTGAATCATTGTTAGCGTGAGTTTGTGAAGATTAAGACTTGTGTCTTCACTATCGTCGAGTCATTTGATGCTGTTTTAGGAGGTCAAAGATATTGTGTGATCTATGGTGTTGGTCTGTATGTTGCCATTTCTGCCATGATGTTATCGATGGTGCGTACGTATGGTTTTTCTACAAATTCTGAGCACTATGCTTCAGGACCTAACCATCTTGGAATTAATGGTGTAGCGTCTTCGCCATGAGAGACTCTTCTGTACGCAATAGTAATATAATGATAAGTTGGGCCGTGCAGTGCTGCTGCTCCCCAACATGATTGTTTTCTGAGGAAGATATTACCATGTAGTGAAGGTAGGGTGTTTATATGTTTGACATCAGATTCATCTCGCTAGTCATTTTTAAGGTCAGAAAGCTCCACCTTTGGATTCATTGCCTAGAGGAGTGACACCTTTGTTGGACTATGAACATTTTACTGGTTTCTTCAGCGGTTTTTTGTGCAGTGCAGACTGCAAGAAAAATCAAGTGTTTGGGCCATAGCCGAGCTACCGGCTTTGATCGCACTTTCGCTAAAATAGCAGGCAAGTTCCTTCGTCAATTTGTGCCGTTAACCTATGAACCCAGAGCCTGGCTCATCAGTACGTTTGGTGCTTAGTTGCAATGAGTTGCATTCGGCATACTTTCCTTTTGGCTTTCCGTTATTCTTTGAAATGTGGGAAAGCTCAGTTTCATTCATATGCTTTTAGACAGTATTCGAACACATAAGAAGGTCGGAACTCTCAGATGGTTTGCTTGGATGCTCCCACTGGGCTGGGTTCATACTGATCCGTAAGTTCCGGAACAGTTCCAGCACAGCGCACAACTCGAGCGCTGTGCTGGAACTGTTCCGGAACTTACGGATCAGTATGAACCCAGCCTTAGAGGCAGTATCTGCCAAGCGTTTAGTCTTTGTGCATAATATAACTTCAAAAGTGAAGATATCAGTGCGAAAAAGAGGAGATTTCTGTCGCAACCAATTCCGTATGAAAATCCAGACCCTCCGTTTTCAAATGTTGACTTTGCGCGATTTCATGATGATTTGATGATTTCCAAATCTAGAAAGTCCCATCCCCAGTTCCATTTGTTATTTTCAAGATTCATCATGAAACACTCAAAGAATACTTTAATCATTTCACAATTTAGGAGAGGAGAAAGACGTATGACTAACAAGGAAAGGCATTCACGCACGCAGAAATTTTTTCAGCATGACCATAGTGTGGAATATATTTACCAAGATTTGTGACGAAGGTGATGGAATCGCCGAATGTAATGAACGCAAAAAAAATAAAGATGCCTAATTAAAAATTAGCACGAATTTGCTGTTGCACCTAAGCGAGAACCTTAAAGTGGAACTCGAGAAAACTAAGGAGGAAAAGAAGGCGAAATTCCTGCAAAACCCGTCAACCGTCGTTGTTTATCGCCTTTTTCACGAAGATGAGAAAACGAGACGCGACGAGTAATAAACGCTCGCCTAGGCAGTGCTAATAGCGAGTAAATGAGTAACCAGGTAATAAATCTATCACTCCCGACATCGAGGACGTTCTTGACTAAAATTATAACAAGTAGCGATCGTCCAGCTCGTTGGGGATCGATGTATGCTATGATCTGTGACGGTATTTTTACGGTATGCAGATAAATTATATCACTGTAGCCTTATATGTTCTGTGTGGAGAGAACGGCTGTGTACAAGTTGATGGAAACTCAGTCTGACCCTTCTAATGACGAGGATATTAAGAATTTAAAGTGAGTTAAAGTTATTTTTGGAACCATACTACGAACTAACAAAAAGGTTGAAGTTTACGGCAGATCTGATCACAACTTGTTTATCTCGATACTCTCAGATGTGCATTGCGTATGCCACTAGCCTTACTTTACTTGCCGGGGAAAGCTTTTACTTGCGAAGACGGAAAGGTATCTTAGATACGGTCAATATATCGAAAATGTGCAGAATAAATTTTTCACTACTTCCAGTGAACACAGGACCAAAATAAAGCAGTTTAGAAATATTCTACTTATGGAGACCAGGCGTCAGTTCTCGCCGTCCTGTGCCGACGACACTCTTCGATTCAGCTTTGTGCTTCGAGAAGGACTTATCATTTTTAGTATGGTAGAAAAGTCACTCCCAAGGATTCCCACTTCCTTCAAAAGAAGTCGCGCAGTATCTTGCAATCTCAGCAACATCCATTGATTGTGAGGTTCTTCAGGTAAGTAGATTTTAGCGTAGCTTTGGTAATCATCACTTTTGCAGCCTTGCGGGTATCTATGGAAATAAAAGACGCGGGAGGTGGGGCAAACACGCAAGACTACTACTGATGTCCAAGTGCTAAGCTAACAAGGAAGTCGGAAGGAAAACTCACGTTTAGTTTGGACTACCTTCTATATAAGTGTTATTCAGGGAGTGCAAGTTTTGGAGCACCAGTAAGTGAGACATTATGCACGAATAATCGAAGAAGATGGATGACACGTCCTCCTCTGACAATTTGAACAACAGCGCTACCACTTCTGACTAAGATCTTGATCTCAAAGATCTCGAAGAAGTTGAAGGGTCTTCTGATATGCATCAGTTTTGCCAATTATTTTGCACTGTTTTATTATGATTACTATCATCAGTTTTGTACTCTTACTTATTACCTGATTTGTTTTGCAGAAACAATTTGTTTTGTTGTCTTTCTTTCTATTGTTTTTTCTGAAAATTTGAACATTCGAATTATTCGAATATTCGAATATTCGAATATTCGAATATTCGAATATTCGAATATTCGATGATATCTGGTTATTCGATTATTCGAATATTCGAATATTCGATCAAATTCAGTTATTCGAATATTCGTTCATTCGAATTTTCGAATGTGGCCATATTCGAATATTCGAATTCGAATATTATAAAAATCGGAAATCGAATAAAATTCGTTCATTCGAAAAATTTTCGAAAATCAATTATTCGATATTCATTCGTTCGAAATTTTTTCCAAATTCAATTATTCGATATTCGTTCATTCGATGAAAATTTCCGCTCGTTACAACTATACTCCTGACCCGTAGCTGACGTGTAGCCTCAAGCAGCAGCGTGCCTGCGCAATGATTTTGCGCTCCAGTGCAAGACCGCGCCGCTGGTGAAGCCATAATCGACATTTGCGGCTTGTAAATCAAAACGAGTTTTTCACTTCTTTAGTTGTTCTTCCGTTATTTAAATAGGCTGAAAATACAGTTCGCTTTCAGATGCCAGCGTTACCTCGTGTTGATCGTATCAAAACGATTTATTCGGCTGCTGCAGCGCTCAACTATGGATGGAAATTTACTGATTTTTTGAAGACGCCAATGTACAATGGTGTATCAAGATACATTCCGCAGCTACACAGGTCAGCTTGAGAGCTTATTGCTGGATAATGTATTCAGTATTTTGTAGTTGTCTTGTAATTATCCGATATTGTTCGCAAATCTTACTTTCTAACCCTCAATCTCGGTATTGGCTGTGCGCTGAAGTTTACTTCATTAATTTAGCATCAATCTGGTTACTTTTGTGCCTCTTGATGAAGAATAATACTTGCAAATTCAGATTTTCATGGCGTCATCTGTTTCATTCATCAGTAAACGACTAAAATGGTTACATTTTTGTTTGATGAACTATCTACCATTGTTTATTTGCAGAACATAGATTAAGTGCATGAACGCCCATAATCGGCCGCGGAACTGGTGGGGAAACTGAGTCGCGCCCCAGTGCCAATCGATCAGAGCATGTTATCCTTCGCGCACTTGGAATAGTCGGTATAAGTCCTTCATAGGGAATCTTTCTTACTCTGCTGTATTGTTGTACAGCAGTTGATGACCGATTAATCCTTTGGAATAGGCACACTGCAGCGCAATTTCAGCGTGTTTCGATCATTTTGTGTAGTTGAATGCTTCGAAATACTGTCTGTAATGATGACTGCCGTGCGCTTCAACGGTCTTGACAACTCGCTCTGCAATGATCATAGAAGCAAAGTGGTTTCATTTGTCGCAGCCTCATATGGCATCGCTTCAGGTTGCGTTAAGTTGGTGCATGAATTACCTCCTCCACAAGAAGGACGGTTTGTCATCATGTTCTCCTAAAGGATAGTTTTTACCATACATCTGACCTACCCTTTTAGCCCAGTCGATGGCAGTTGCCACTTTAAGATTTCATAGCATAGTACTGTGCAACATCATATGTTTATCTACTTCCACATTTTCTTCGAGATTCGGAAAATAAAATCTCCAAAGGCGAAAGAATCAAGCACGCCGGTATTATGCAGGCCTGTAAAGCAGTTGTCACTAGGAACAAAACGGAGAATCTGAATTCGAAAGCGTCAACTGCGAACGTCACTATTGTATGACTGTGATCGAGTCCCAATATAATAGCTCGAAAACAGCAACAGCATGTGCTGGCACTAGTCACACACAGATCTGATGATGTATGAATCTTCAGTGTTAAAAAGTTCTGATGGGGGTCTCGCTTACTGATATGGGTAGGTAGTATAAGTACTGAAGTGACTGTCTAACTACTAAAAAAGTCAGAAACGCCAACACATACAGTTCTTGAAAAGGTGTTTAGAGCTATAGTACACGGAAACAGGTCCGGATTTCTAGATGTTTGTGTTCGATTCACTAGGTGCCCAATGTTTTTGAAGATGCCATTCCATACTAGATGAGCAATGATCTTCAAAAGTGTCTATAAACCCGGTGGGCATTTATGAAGTCACAAAATACAGATGTTTTGCAAGATAAACATGCACTAGAACCTTATTTCTACAGTACTGCAAGATCTGTTCCATCTTGATTTCTCGTATCAACTGTGGGACTGATGCCGAACTGGAACTGGATGTTCAAGCCATTTGCGGATTGTGCATTGGCCAATACCAAAAAGGACTTACCTTTTGAGAAATCCAGGCTCACGCAGCGGTTTTGACTCACGTACAAGCGCTGGCTCTTCTCATTTTGCCATTATACTGTCTTTTTGCGTGCAAGGTATGTAGAAAAGTAGCTAGCTCTACAAGAACTTCCTATCGTCAAAGGCAGCACAAACTCGAATAAAAAGCAAAGCGTCGTGATTTACTCGAGCTCGGCAAGCTGTACGACTCGGAACGAAACCTTTCTAATCTTAAGTATAGTCAAAAATGAGATAGTAATAATGGTTCTATGTGGATTGAAAGTAAAGATGATGTCCTATAGGAGTCGCTAAGGTCACTTAACTTGCTACGTGCGCGAATCGAGAAAATAACGTGCTCTAATCGATTGGCAGTGGGGCGCGACTCAGTTTCCCCACCAGTTCCGCGGCCGATTATGGGCGTTCTAAGTGCATGGCAATCTTGAACAGCATAACGAGGATAAACTGGGCAACCAATCTTTTGAGAACTTTTTTACAATAATGAGTAATTTTTCTTTCTATGAGTTTAAAACGGAAGCTATTTTCCTTCATAGCTTATCCCACTTTGATTCACTGTTTGCTTGGTTTACTTCCGCCACAAAATGAAGCTCTTGCATCTTAGGGACCCATCATACTTCGCCGAAAAAAGCCTAAAGAATCCCGAAAAAGCCGGAAAAAGCCCAAAAAGCCCGAAAAAAACCAAAAGCGCCAGAAAGAGCCGGGATTCTCGCACGTTTTGGCGCTAAGGCATGTATGTTGATCTCGCAACCGAGCCTTTTTGTCATTTTCTGTCGTCTGCACGACAAAATAACGTCAAAGTTTTACGAAATGTTCGTTTCTGCGTTCCGGCGCTTTCGAGCTTTTTCGGGCTTTTTCGAGCTTTTTGGGCTTTTTTGAGCTCTTTTGGGCTTTTTTCGGCGAGGTATGACGGGTCCCTTACTTGGAAAAGCCTAGAAATCCTGTTTCTATGCTGATCGGTTCACGACCTTTGCTGTTCCTTCTAGCAGTGTGTAAGCATGATGCTATCGTTAACACAAACTTCGGAAACTGTTTTCTAAAGGGCCGGACATACATTACGCGATTTCATCGCATCGCGATTCTTCCAACAAGACTACTGTTACGAGTCCATTGCATGCTAGTCCTCTTGTACTTCTGTTGTAATAGTTACCCCCCGATTAGTCATGTCAAACTATCAGATTCGAAATGCAAGATGATCGGCATGCAATGAATTCGTAAAAGTTGTCTTGCTGGAGAATCGTGATGCAGTGAAATCGCGTGATGTATGCCAGGCGCTTAATAAGATGATCATGTATTTTTACCTCACCATCTGATTTCCAGAATTACATTCCGTTTCTGCAAGCAAAGTGAAGGAAGTGTTGGAGTTCGGAACTTCATTGAGAATAAACTTATCAATTTAGGTGTGTATCATCTTCATATTTCACTTCACCAATGGCATTTCAATTGTCACGTTGTTTAGGGCAGCAGAATCCTTCCGTTGTGATCTACACGCAACCAGTGCGCAATGCTAATCCAATTATTCGCGCCGAGTATGGAAACGGAAGGATCGTGCAACTGAATGCAAAAAATATGAGTATGGCCGATATAGAAAGAGACGTAAATTTGCTGTATTCCCGGAGTGGCGAACCAGTAGTGAAGTTGGAGTCTCGACAAAGTTCCCCCACGCCTTCTATCCAGGTCAGCTAAATCATCAGCCTTTTCTGTTTTTTTTTAATTTGCATCTTTTTTCCTTGGAATGAGAGCAACATTCTGAGTTATTGCAGCCTGCTCATACGACAGCGTATATCTGTTGCTGTCTTTAGATCTACAGGGTGTCCGTAAAGTATGTATATACTGTTTGATCGTTAATATCTTTCTTCCCAACAAGTCGTTTGCCTTGCTTCAGGTTCCGTTTTGTAGAGCTGGCTCCAACTTAGACTTGCAGTATAGAACGAATCACCCATCTCCCTTCATTATTGTGGGATTACGGTAGAAACTTCAAAGAGAGTTTTGAGCCATGAAAAGCCATAATTTGCCTCAGAAAGGAAACAAAACAGCCTGAAAACTTTTACATTATGCTAATTAGAGTTGTTGATTCTTACTGTGAATTTATTATGATGCTTCATTGAAGAGTTATGCCGCGTAAGAGGTAGCGGCCTTTTTTTCAATGTTCCTAAAAAGTGCGGTTACACCGTTTAGAAAGCTTCGCAATCTTGTGATTAGTTGAGTATTGAACTCATCGTCTATAAAAACCCTATTACACAAGTTTTCACATTTCTTTGAAAATAGACGATAGCTTTCTCCACATTGACACCATGTTTCAAGTTTCTACCGTAATCCTACAGTAATGAAGAGCGATCGGTGATTCGCTCCATACTGTAAATCTAAGTTGAAGCCAGCTCTACAAAATGGAACCTGAAGCAATTCAAAAGACTTGTTGGGAAAAGATATTGAAGAACAAACAGTGTTTACATACTTTACGGACACCCTGTATGTCAAGACTAACTCAGTTGGTTTTGACCCTTGCACTATAAGCAGGGAGGTCGTTGCATTTGCATGACTTCTGGTCTGAGACAAGGGAAAACATAGAGAATCTCAGACACTCTTATGCATATATTGTTTGAAGAGTCGTTTTGATTCTTACAATGCCTTCTTTGCTCAAAAGAACTGTCGTTATATAAGGTGCAGTGTGTCCAAAAAGGTTGAAAATTCTTCATGGACTCACTGTATAAGCGAGTATTCCTATTCCAAACTTACCTCATTCGAAGATAATGAGATGAAAGATGCAATCTAATGAACTCTACTTTTTGTTGCTATTATTCTGCTTTCTCTTCCTGGCTTCGTCCCTTAGTCTGCTCTATTTAGGGCGAGTGGACGCCGATGACGTGGTTACCGCCGCGAATGAACAAAGCTAAGCTACCGGATCCGGAATTTTCAAAGCACAAGACATGTAATGTGACAGCAACGGAATACCTGCTGGAGGAACAAAAACGTAATGAGAACCAGTGATTAGCTCATCGTTTTTACTGTTGCTGGTATTGTTGAAATTGTTCGAAAGAGTATATCAGGATTTTTTATTTTTGATGAGCTTGATGAACACTCGAGTTATTTATCTGAGATTTGAAACTGTTTCTATGCTGTTCACAGGCTATTTAATTGCTCAGTTATTTGTGTGTTCATTGTTTGACGGGTCAAAGCAAATAACTGGCTTGGCTTTGCTTGAGCTTAGGATGATATGTGCCGAACAGGTATCTTAATACTGTTATTGTTACTTTTATGGAAGTGTAGGATAGCTTGAAAGTGTAGATGTTCATGTATATCGTGCAGTTTACATAGTCAGTTATACATAAATTTGATTAAGACAATAATGTATAAAAATTTTTTTTTATTTATTACTGTGTTAAACTGGGTTTCACAGCCTATATATCAATTTGACGCCCTGTTATGTTTGCATATGGTATTATATCTTGTTATTTTTGTCTGGAGTTTTTGGGTTAGCCTTTCTGCGAAGCAGATCTTGGTGGATTCTGTACCTTGCATCAGCTTCCTTCTTACAATCATTCCTTTATCTGAGACAGCATTCCACTTTCTGAGTGCTAACTTTGACGTTTTCACTTTTTTTGCATGATTATATACTATCAAGATTTTGTTGGACCCGAACTTGATTGTTGCCGTCATCGTTCACGCGTTTCTACTGAACTTTCTTTTTTTTTTCTCTTATGCTTTGACATTGAATGCCATTTCTCAATTCCAATTTTCGATAATGTAATCGGATATCGGTAAGCACCACCTTCCTCTTTTTCCGCTCAAATCTGATCTCGGATGCTTTTCGTCGGAGTAGACATAGTAGTCCGTGCTGGATTACAACTGCAAAAGAATGAGCTATTTCATTTTTCCAACTGAATTTGCTCATTTATGTCACGGGTCCAAAAAAATCATAAAACCTCTACATGGTCCGATAGCTCTTATCAAGAAAATTCAGTGCAGCTATATCGTTTTTTCTTTCTTACTCAAGTCAGCCTGAACAACATCAATATGTCACTTTGCAACTGCTGAAATTCTATTACTACGGTCAGTCTGCCAAATGGCATCTTCATAGTCTTACATTAGGTGATTGAATTTCATACAAGTTTACTGTTTATTTTTTCTATCTCGTTAAAAACGCTAACTTGTCAGACTCAGTCTGATTCTAGTCAACCTAATCAAATTCAATAATAATAACTTTCTCCAACTATGTCCATGCCTTCACGAGATCAGTAGCTTATTCCATCCATCCATTCTGGTGAGCGTCTGCCCTTACTGATTCTGTCGTTTCTCCTCAGAATATTGTTTCCGCATTCATCGTTTGTTAGTACTTTGAAGTTGGGTTTGTTTTCCATTTATCTGCTCTGTTTCGCGTGAACTATTATCAGGCCTTAGAATAATTATTCTTGTTCTCTCCCAAGTCAGAGTATCTGGACAATGACGGTAACTGCTAAGTGTCTAGAGAGTCGCTAATTTCGTCCTCGTATTATTAAAACAAGGTTTTCTCAAAGAATGTTTCTTCTTTGAAGAATCAACAATGGTGTGTATGAATAACCACTTTTTGTACACATCAAGTTTACTTCCTCTAGCATTGTTGTTTTTCACACTCTGTCCTGCTATTCTGCTAGGTTGGGAACTAAGTTATGCAACTTTTTCAATAAATTCCCTCTCTTTCTACAAGGCGCATTGAAACTTTGCCAATGTGTAGGTCATGACGTAATCTACAAGTGCAGCTACTGTTCTGCCAAACTCCTACGTCGCAGTTGGGGTTACAGGAGGTTAATGGTTTAAGGCAAAAATCATAGAACTCAGATTTGGTCAAAGCTTGGCATGCGGTGGGGGGGGGGGTATCCGACATGCTGATCACGGAAACGATATTGAAATTGCATGCTAAGGGCTTTTTTGTAAACTGTAGGTTTACAGTGTAAGGTCTCATCCTAAACAAGAAAAGAGGCTTGGATTCAACAAGTAAATATGGTACACAGTTCCGGATAAATTTATGACTCAGGTTGCAAACAGCTTCATTTGCTTATTTTCGAAAAGTGTTCAAAAATTTTTAAATTTTGTCCAAAAGACAAACAGTTTGTGCCCATTTGTAGCACATATCAAGATCTACATATTACTGAAGTTTGAGCGCGCCACATTTGAAGAGAGTAAATTTATGAAAGACGTTGCAAACCTAGTTTCCAACTCAGTCTATTCTATTAGTATCAACTTCATATCTGAACTTACATTTCGCACAACAACACAGCAAGTTTATGCTTTTGCAGAGGCGTTGCCACCATGCCGGCGTACCACGTGTCTCGTATGACGAGATTCGTAAGATTTTGGAAAGCCCTGCCTCACATGCTCATTAGGGAATATCCGGAGCAGACTATCATGTATTCTACATTCGGAGTTGCTGGACTAGTGATATTTATCTACAAACTCAACAAATATGGAACGGAAGGAGTGAAACCCTACTATCGCGGTTACTACGATGTTGTTCGCCCGAACGATCCTGTTGCTTTGTCATGGAGAAAGCCTGAGGAGTACCCGGCCCCTTATCTTTCGAAAGGAGTTGAGACTGATTATTGATTGAGTTGTAATTATAGGGAGATAAATCTTAGATATAGATTTTGGTTGAGTAGTAATGAATGGATTTTGCATTTGTGTAAATCGTGTGCATATTGAGCTTTACTCTAAGTAAACTGATGCCATTTGACATGGTTTACCTGACTCGCAATATTTGTAACGCGAGATACTAGTAACAATTTGTTACACGAAAAACAAAAACAAAATTCCATGCATTAAACGGTGGCGGACCGAGGGAGGGGGGAGAGAATGGGTAGCGAAATGTGTGAAAGCTACGTATTTGAATTGAAAATTTGTCCAAGTGATTTGTTTCACTTGTAAATGATGGAGATAATTTTTATGTTCAACTTAACATCATAAAGAAGCTTCTTCGGTGACCCTTTCTTAAAAATTTCGGGGTTATGAAAATTTCTCGGACCGCCACTGACTGTCAAATAATCAGTGTGTGACTCTTGCCGTTCAAGTATTCGTCCGCTTATTCTTGGTGTCTCCTTCAGTCTCCAAGACTATAACCTTTACAAAACTTAATCTATTTCTCTCTCAAATATTTCCAGCCTAGTTCAGACATATTTATGTAATTTGCCAGGAAATGAAGAAGCTCAAATATATCCACATGAAAAATAACTGGGAATAGCTGCACAATGTGATGATCAGAAATGGTCTTTTTTCATGAATGCTGTGCGTACGATTGTGGATCCCACGTTGTCCAACTTGAACCGTCCCTTGTTGGATCCTGCGGCCTCCAGTCTTGTTGCGAGGAGTAGTCAGCAGTCGGTGGGACGTAAGCTGGACCTGGTTCTGTGGTCGTAGGTATCCACGATTCTTCATCACCGGATAAGATATGGTGTGTAGCAACTACGAATTCGAACTGATCGTTGAAAGGATTCAAGAATTTGTAGGCAGAAATCGTGCATGGTCTGTAGTCTGATGCAGATCGAATTCGGCAATTCAGTCGCATTTGTTGATCTCGTCTGAAAGAGAATGTTATCAAATCTAGATGCCGACCTTACAAGCACCCAAACTGGGGGTAATGAGATTTTGATGTCATATGTAGAGGGGTCCTAACTAAGCCATCGCCCAAGTATCGCTGCAAAAGATGAATTCAGAAGCGATAAAAGCGCTCCAGAAGGTAGAAGCTGCACGTTATCTCCGCCCATCAACGTGGATGGTGTGAAGATTAAAGAGCCCAGAATTGGGCTTTGAAGTGTCTAGGGTTGTTGTAAATCCGCCTTTAATTATGATTATCACAGTTTCAACATTTCTGTCTAAACTGAAGCCCGATTTTGAAATATTTATCTTCAGACCCACCACGTTAATGGGCGGAGCCAACTTGGAGCTTCTACCTTCTAGAACAGTTTTGTCGCTTCAATTCATCTTTTGCAGCAAGACGCTCTCCATTATATGATATCAAAATCTCATTACCCTCAATTTAGGTAAACGGTGCTTTCAACAAGGACTTACGTCATCATAGTAATAAATGCATCATGCAATGTTTGTTCGTCCGAAGGATGGACTATTTGCCACCAGAAGCGGCCCACCAACTGATCAGGACTAAGTCCAAGTAGTTGAGTAAGTTTCGCATCAACGAATGTCATTTTGCCATCTTCGGCGATCCGCATGGATATCCGAGTCATCTCGGCGGGATCACATAAGGGCATCGATGCTACCTACAGTTTTTGAATGAGCCTCTGGGCCTAAAGATGACCGACAATGAAAAGATTCTTCACCTGTAATCGAGCAATGGCAACAAGGCAAGATGATGGTGGCGCATCAATTCCAGTAGGTGGTGTGTTCTTTATATAGCCAGTGCAGTGCATAACAACATAATTATGACCTTAAATAGCAATATGAGTGTTACACCGAAATGAAAAAAAACTGACCTCCATGCTGAAACAGTGGCCGTCGATTACGCAACCGATGCAAAGGTTCCAAAGGTCCTAACCGCATGCGACAGATAAATCCCCTTCGACATGTCATGTGGACTCGAGAGGCAGCTCCTTCACGCTTGACAGTACCTTGAAAACAAGCAAGAATTCTCTTCTTGTCCCATACGCTATTTGAAAGCTTATCTTTTTGACAAAGTCAGTGCTAGTAAAATATTGAGAAGAACTACCGCAAGTTCTTAAAAAGTCGGAATTGACCTATTTCGATGACCTCCAGTCAAAAAAAAGAAAAGAAAAGGACTGGAAAAATTCCAAAACGCCAACCTGTCTTGAGATCGAGCACTTTGTTTATAGCCACTTCACTTCCACATAGTTGGTCCCTTATTTTATCCTGATCGTCTGGGTGAATCAGCTCATTTATGGTATGGTTTATCCAGTCCTCCTATGCAAAGGTGCAATGAAAAATCAAGTATAAACATAAAAAATACAAAGAAAACCAATTACTTTAAGAGATACAACTAACCTGCTTCAAGTTTAATACCGGTGTTATAGAATCTGCAACGTAGAGAACCCTACCAGTATTGCAACAAACGACAAATAAAAATCCATTAGCTGCTTCAAGTATTAAATGCTTCAGCTCTTGATCCGACAAAAATGACGGCTTATAGCCGCTTTCATCCTGAAACTGGTGTTTGAACGCTGAGTCAAGATCGATATGATAGCAATATAGGATCTATGAAACAGAGTATGATCAAACAAATTACCTGACTGTTATGTCCTCTTATAGCCTTCATGTGGGAGACAGCCATTCGTAATATTGTTAGTTTATCAGGTTTTCGCCCAAGTGCGGCACATTGCGGGACCATTTCAGCGAGTTCGTTGATGTAGTGGGTCATTTTATTCCTTCGACGCCTTTCTATCTAAAGAGATATCTCTTAAGTACTTTTACATAGTTTATGTTGGGTTTTCTATGACTATCACACTCGTACAAATTCGTTATTTTTAGCAAGAAGCCTTCATTGCGATCGCATGCTAATGCTGCAAGCACTTGGCTTTCGAGATATGAACATCGTGAAAAGCCCCCGCAAGCAAAAATTTTTGGGTGTCCAATGACAACCTGACGAAGAAGAATCTCAAACTCAAATGCCTCCACATATATCCACTGTATGTAATGAAATTCCGCTCAAGCAGCTATTCAACAAAGTTCCCACTGACAATAAACGATTAAAAATCTATATGATAAAACGTAAAAGCGCATTCATAGCATTGTTGAACACCACCCATAACTGCCGCCACTCAGCACTACATCGGGCTTTTGAAGACTATCCCTGTTCAGCTTTCCTTTGAGAGAACCATCTCAACTGCGAGAGTGTTAACTACTCCGAACTCGGCGACTCACTACGCAAATGCGAATGACTGTCAACAACTTCGCCGCTTAGATAGAAAAACAGATTTGACAGCTCACAAGAGCACTTCAAATATCAATAATTATTACAGTGGATCAAAGTGCAGCTTTTGAACGATAACGGTGGAAAAATTACACGAATTCAGAAGCAGCCTCCTAATGCATATTTCATGAGTTAGAACGTTGAAAAATAGCAATAGAATGGCTATTTTAGATAAAAGTTCGAATATATCTTTGCCAACAGAAAAAGCTTTCTAATAAAATGAAGTAAATGATGGTGCACAGGAATGAAAACAAAGAAAAAAGTGAAAAATACAGATGAAACGCCAACCTCGCTGTGATTTTCTCTGGCATATCGTTCTTTGTTCTCATTCAAGTCGTCCCCTCCATCCAGCCGAGCGTATTTGCCAGCCGACATTCCCAAATCATCATCGTCCATGCTAAAATATGCAATATACGATTCTATGATAATTTTGGTATAGCTCAGCTTTCTCGATACTTTGCATACAATTTTGCAAAATTATTTGAGAAGCTTCCATGGTAAGCCTGATATTCCAACAATCATTTCTGAGATATACTCAACAACCACCATACGAAGTCAATTAACTAATTTTCGCGGACAAAAAAGCATTCTATGGGGCACTTTCTCAAAACAAAAGTAAGATTTCACTGATCGTCTTTTTTCAGCAGTTAACCCAAGATTGGTAAAACTTTTTATTAAGACCAACGTTCCGGCGATTTCGCCTTCTTCGGGTTCTGAAATGCCGAGTGCTTAGAGAACATTGCGTCAGCTACGCATCACGGCCGAGAACTTGTTCTCTAAGCACTCGACTTTTCAGGCCCTTAAGAAGGCGAAATCGCGAAACTTTGGTCTTAATAAAAAATTTTCCCATCTTGGGTTAACAGCTGATAAAAGAAGAAGTGTATAACAATCATGCCAAGATTAATAGATAGTCGAACAAGAAAAAATGAAAGATTATTTTTCCTATAACTGGATAAAACATATTTTCAAAGCATTTTGTTGATCGTAGATTAATCATCACAGCGAACCTTCGTTGAGATAAAAAAGAAGCAGGCACGAGCCGAGATGCAAATGAGCGCACTATGCAACAAATGTCAACTGTGAAAAAACAGACGTCCTTAGATATCTTATTGTCGAATGTGCAAATTTTTCCTATAAATCTAAAGGCCCCTTGAAGAATGATTTCCATTTAGATAAAAAAGAGCAAGAAAGAGGCGGCATGGAGTAAATTAGGTTGTCCCAAAAGTTTTGCCTTTTTTTTTTTCAAATAACCATGAAACCGCTAGTAATAGGAACCTAAATGCGTTTTGAAATGCAATCGCGGCAGCTTTTTCTCTCATAACGGTTAAATCTCTAAACAATAATCCTCTGAGAGCTTCTTGATAACTGCCAAAATCACCCGTTATTTCTGTCAAATTTCGTTTAACATTCAAGAATCTCTTTCTAGTGTTCCGCAGAAAAGTAGGTTCGATACAGATAGAGCAAATCTCGGACTATACGCTGGTGCTCTTTGATTTTTCTGATCTGCTATTTGAGCTTTGAAAATCATTTTGGGGAGATCTCTACTGGTACAGTCCTGAGAAACACAACGCTGCAAAAACATGAAAGCTTTCAAATGAGCAAGTTGAAGCAATACTGTCACAAAAAATCGGCAAAATTATCAAGTTCAATTTGTTGCGAAGAACCAGCTTTTTTGTATAAATAAACAATAATTAAAAACTTCAAAAACTTGAGATCCAAACAGATATCATGCAGCCTAAGGTTTACCCTGCATAACAGCCAGTTCGGAATATCAGAATTAAATTTTTTGATCCGTGATTAGCGTCCTGTTAGACCGCCGAAAGTGCCATAAAGCAGAAAGAAGATATAGCTGTCGATAAGAGGATAGAATTTTGAAAGAACGAAACGTTAGTCGTTCGTCGATCAGTGCTCTGCGAATTCAAGTGACAGATAAAAAACCGACAGTTCCGCAAAACCCAGCTTTTCTTCTAATTATAAAGATCTGAATGGTTAGTTATTTTCAGGTATACTATCTTATTCAGAATGACCATCACATGGAATCTAAGATAGACGAGGACAGCCGTGCAGAGATAATTACACCTTAATAAGGTCATAAATGCTAGTCGCTTACTCATCAAGGACATCTCAGCAGCTTTATAATAAGACTGAAACTTTCTCTGATCAATCAAACTAACACCTTACAGCTAAATTACAATCTGCACTTGCAGTCAAAACTTATAATTAGTGCAATATAACAACTTACAAAAACAGCTGTTGAAGAAAATAATCGTAAGCTATCCGCTACGCTAGTAAACTTTAAAAAGAATAGAAGTTCGAAACTAAAATATACACATGCTCAATCTGATGTGACCATCGTATTCTCTCCAGTTTTTACCCCATGAGTGACAACATTTCGCTCACTTTGTATGCAGGAACTCGAACCCCATACCAAGTAAATCAGCTGTCCGCACACCTGGTGTGGTCATTTCGGAACGAGAGTCTTCACCGTACTGTACACAAACAAACATTACGAAAGGGGCCGAGTGGAGGTGTCATTGATCCTGGCCCCACTTTCCCTTTGTCCTCATGTTCATTCCGTTGCACCACAAAGAAAGGAAGCACCTTTTGAGCAGCCGGAATTTATCGGAAGGGTAGTGTGAAAAGATAAGAATGTGCAAATTACGTTCTAGAGCTAGTGGTAAATCAATCAAAAAAGTGGATCAAGAAGGTGATCCAAATATGTGCATTTTAGCACATCTATTATTAGCACATATTTGAATTCAGCAGTGGAATCATCTTGATCAAAATGGATACGAAAGTTACAAAAAGTGGAAAGCGAGAAAGATCGGACCAATCACTTTTTAACAAAATTTTCCTTTCAACTGAGCACACGGAATGTTCAATATTTCTGCTTCGAGTTTATAAGCAATGAAGAATAAATATGACTGACGCAGTTCAAAAAGGCAAAATCAGTGTGATAAAAATCGAAAACCACTACCAAAAACCACAATTGTGAATCGAAAATGGAGGGAGAATAGCAAAGTAAGTGCAAGTTATAAGCAAGTTATAATACTGCAAAACAGTTTTAATGACACTTCCAAGCTTCTTAATACTTATCAAGAGATTTATACGTGATAGAAGGAAGAATTGGCATGCTCGAGAAAAACCAAGAAGGCATAAACGTTCCTATGAGACCAAAAGTTGTCAGTATGGTATGATTGTTCAATATATAATCAGATTGCCGAATGACATTATGGAAAAACCGAAACGAAAAGAAAACTAAACAAAAATCGATGGATCAATTACCTTCCAGGATGCCATGGATCGATAAAGGCGGCGGCATCCTGCGCCATGGCAAGTTGGGGATTGTACGGGTCCAGTTCGGAAGAGGAGTTACGACGTTGATGACGTCACTTCCGGTGTGTCGCGCGAGCTGGTCGAAGTGCGGTCGTGGAAATGCGGTGGTGGACGTTTTGAGGACGACCGGAGCAGCCGCCGCGTTTGCGGACCGCGGCGTTCGTGTGTACCGTCCGGTGAGACGCTCGACGTCTCGCCGCTCTACGCGCAAAGCGTGCTCTCTCCGCATCGATCGCCCGGTTTGGGCGGGGGTTACGCGACGGGGCCCCGTGGACACCATGTGTTCGTAAAATAAGTGGACATGACCTTGGCATGACCTTAGCTAAGATATTCGAGCTAGTTCAAGTGCTTCGAGCAGTTTTCTACATATTTTATGTGCTCAGTTCGCTACTTTTTTCGCTTAAAGCTTCCAGAATTTTCTCCGAACGGCTCGAGCGCGCCATGTTTTCGTCGTCCAGCAATTTGCATAATTACTGGCCCTATTGTATATACGGCACTTAACGATTTGAATTGTGCAAAACAACGCTCCACAATGCTTCTTTCGACGGCAATCATTTTATTCCAGAAGACATGAAATCAACGAGAAATTCTAAATTTCCTAAAGAAAATCAGAAATCACGAAATAAAAATATCTAAACCTTTGCTAGTATAATCTATTCTGCACAAATCACTCCATCTAATTTGATGTCCGTATCGCTAAGCGGTACGCTATCGACCATCTGTTGACTGAGAGACAGGCCGTACATTATTGGCAGCCTTCCAAAACGATTTTTGTGGTCCGCTAGCATTCGATCGTAATAGCCCTGGACATCAATGCTATTGATTTTTTTTTAACTTTTTCCTTCTTGACAAGCGCACTCACCATGCCATGACCGAGCCTATCACCATTTTTTGTAAACGCCACTCCTGGCAGAAGCACGAGATCTAGAGGACCTGGAAGAAACGTTATAAAAAGGGGTCACTGATCAGAAACAGAGGAGAATTTGGCTACAAAATGCAGATTATAAATTCCGCTGAAGATGATCTATCAAGACCATTTTTCCGTTTCTCAAATACAAAAAGCGAATTGCACCTTAAAGCATTGTGGAAGTAGAATATGATGCTTACCCCTCTGCCCTTTATGACTCAAGGCCCATTTTCGGTGTCTAAATCTACCGCATCAGATCAAGCCTAAAATTCTCGAAAAAGTACCCACCGTTACAGGAAATTGTAGATAAATTTAGCTAACATCAACAACTTTTGAGACCAGCAACATGTTTTTGAGACTCGAGCACAATTTTTGAGTTGATAGAAAATTTTCTTACGGCTTTAGCTTCCCAGCAGCAGCAATGTTGAGAATGCCTTCAGTCGGTTTAATCCAAATCATTAATTTTTTGTTATTTTACAGGAGCAGGATTATGTCTAATAAATTAAGCTACGCACTCTCGTACTTTCATGCAATCCTTTCAGAAAAAAGTCAAATCAAATTAAAGTTAATCAACGATTCTTTGCAGCGTGTTTCACTTTGATTTCAATTGTCTCAATATACCTGGTACTGGGAAGTTTTTGGCTATCATTTACGAAATATATTCAAAAAATTTCTGCCACGGTTTTGGGAAAACTAAAGAATATACATGGTAATGAGGTCCCTTTCGAAACAAGGCTCGGCACAGGCTTGTAAGCAAGCTAGATATCGTTTTTGGGACAAAAAGCAAAGGGGGTGTCGTTTTTGAGGGCGAAAAGACACAAAAAGTGCGAAGTTTTTTAGTCATCGTTTGTTTTTTGAGAGGGTTTTTACATTTAGGGTAAGGGTCAAAGGGGACTTCGAAAAAATTCGCGAAAGTTAAGGGTGACTTCGTTTTTTTTTTGCATTTTCCAAAAGCCACCTCGTGCCGAGCCTTATGCCCACATCATGCTTGAGCTATTTTTGTGTTTGGATCGGGATTCAACGATATAAAATATTCGAAAAGCACTATTGCAAATAAAAATTCGTGGCCTACCAGACTTCTCATACGGTTCCCAGTTGTCCTCGTCTTTTGGCTGACGTATGCCATAGCGATACGGCTCCATTTTTTCGTATGCTTCGTACGAGGGTACTTTCAATAATTTCATTAGAAGATTGCCTGTTGTGAACTGTTAGAGACATTATTTGACCCAATGATCTTTTTTTGCAAATTGCACTCACCTGGGGGACGAATGCAATTTTGTCGTGATCCAATATTGCTTTGACAATTTTGTCGGTTTGTATCTCTCCATATTTTGCGCTTGAATAAATGGAGATTCGTTTCGCATCTTTGAACCAAGGTGCAGCCAAAATCTGGAATATGAAATTTTATGTGGTACTGAAATCATGACACCTAAATAAGTACCTTCTCAAGGACTTTATTACTCTGTTGTACTTGTTCTTCAGCTGAGATACTCAAGAATCGCTGCTGTACTTCTTTGCGGAGCTCCTTCTTCTGTTTTGAGATGGGGTCGTTGACCCAGGATTTACTAGTCGTACTCATCTAGAGAAATACATAATTGAGGAAAATCTAAGCTGAAAATCTTCTCTTCGATAGAAAGACGACCTTAACTGACGTAAGCCAAACACGATTTGGAAGAAGCAGGAGGCGACGCACGAGTTGCATACGCTTACTGGCGATCTAGCTAAATCTTGTGATGAAGTAGGCTAATAACCGGTTTTGATCTTCGGAAAGTCTTCACTACAAGAAGTGCCATTTATACAGTTTGGAAATTTTTATGTATGTTGCAGACACTTAATCGAGAATTGTCAACATGTATTACTTTTCAACTATCTAAATGTTGTGCACCTTCGGTCATTTTATCGAAGACAGTGCAGTTTTGTACATTTAGTATAACTTTTGCAAATACCATCAATTTTTTGATGCGGTCATTCTGAAACAGTATGTAGGTTACTCAAGGACGTCCCTCTCCCCCGAGGATGGGTCGCCAAATTTTTGTAACTTACTTACATGGGTTACAAAAATATGCATGTGACGTGTTTATTGTAAATGATTAAAATAATTTTAAAAATCTTCAAAAACTCAAAATTAGCTTTGTAAAAAATTTTTTGGGGGTGTGGCAGCCAAGCTCCCTTTCTCTAGATTTTAAAACCCTCAAAAAGTATGAGAAGCACCTTGAACGCCACCGTCACCTACCATGGCAAAGCTATAGCGTTGTTTTTTTTTGACTCGGAGACAAGCCCCAAATGCATAGTCCCATCGATTATAACCAGTTTCAATTTCTAACTGGAAAGAACACCCGTCAATGCAGAACTTGTAACTCATTGATTCTCCCTCTACACCTATATTGCTTGGAAGATGTACTTTTGATAGAGCAGTCATCAAAAACCATATCGAGGTTTGTGGGTGTATGTCAAGAGGCGCGATTTTTATTGCCACATAAACATCCATTAACGCATTTTTAATATTTTACGATGTTCTAGAAGCAATTCAAATTTTTAAAGAGATATTCATGATTGTTCCATGGTTGCTCGATCTTATCATTTCAAATAGAGTTGAAAATTGATGTTGGAGGTCAAAAACCCGTGAAAAAGCACCTAATAGACTCAGGAATAATCCAAACAAGTTTCCAAAAAAGCAGCCCAGCTTAGCAAGTGGTAGAGATTGTTAGTTGCTGGACTTTGCCCGGTATCATTAAAAGACACGCATAGCTCTAAACTGGGCTGTTAAGTTGGTGACCTCTGTAAAAAATGCGCCTCTTGACCGTTTCCAGATATTTGTGGATCAACGAGACCCACAACTACGCAGCCCTTGTCTGACCATTCTTTCTCCTATTTGAAATGAAAAAAAGCGATAAAGCACGAATAACCTATGCAAAGCGCAAGATATCTCAAAGAAAACCTCTAGGAATGAGTAGTAAATTAGATTTTCAAGAAATCTTCTCAACGTAGAGGTGGAAGCTACGTCTCTATGTGCTTTTCAGCATGAACACAATTTTTCCCTATATTTGCATTATCAGAAGCATTTTATAGTGTTCGTGCAATGACAGTCACCATATTGACATTATATAGAGAACGCGTACATAAATTCTTCATTATAGCCATTGCAATCATTACATATTAAACGTGGAGAGATATTGAAAGAAAGAAACTATACAAACGGACAAAAAATTAACAGGGACATATGAGAGAGCATTACACACTGTGTACAATGCGGTTAGCGATGGGCGACAACAGTGTTGAAACGTTATCTTTCATCTTGTAGACATGTTAGTAAGGTGTTTCTCAGCTTATAGGTAAACAGTTTTGCACTGATTTTAGATGTAATCTTGTAATGACCCAAGCTCTAATTGCTGGTGGCACTGAATGACTATAACATAGCTACAAACTAACAAGGGAAGGATACCAATATAATCTGGCCCGAAGAAGAAATGCATATCAATAGACACGCCTCCAAACGCCCATTTCAGATCTGTTTTCCGTTTCTGCGGAGCGATTTTCCAAAAGAAGTTATGAGTCTAAAATTGGCAAGGTTTAAGTGGCTCAAAAATAGCGAAAAGCTTTACAACAGTATTTCCGCTAGCTATTTTCCTTGTAGTCAATACACTTGATACAGTATTGATCATCCACTTTTAGGTGCTTCTATAAAGCTTTCTGCTGATTTTATGCCATGATACTTGACAATTTTCGACTTTTAAACGCTTTCTTCTTCCGGAAAGTTGCTCCGCAGAAACAAAAAGCAGATTCGGAATCAGCGTTTGAAGATGCGTTTACTGATATATGCATCCATTATTGATTTGCCAGATTATGTTGGCATCCTTGCCCTATAAGATATCGGAATTTTTCCTATAAAACACAGTCAGTAGTATCAAACTTTTGCAAGCAACATATATCAAATAAAAAAGCTCATAATACCCGGAAGATTGTCCAGATTTGCACTCACAACAATCAATGCATTTTGCAAACTATTTCGTACTGGGTTCGTGTTGGCTATAAGTCAACCTCTTCAGTAAGGTACCGTATTCCAGGACGCTAAAGATATGGGACATCGTGCGTTTGAACGCAAAAAAAACTCCTTCCCTCACTGGCTCTTATAAGCTCAATAGGAGGTTACGGTAGAAGACTTTAAGTGGCGCAAAATTGTTAGACATTGCTTTTCAACAAACATACAGTTCCAAAATCGCAAAATAAAACTTGTTTGAAACAGAGGTAAATTTGGGTAAGTGAGCGTAATCACTCATTGAGCAGTAAAAATAATAACAAGTCGAGTATGCTATCATATTCTGGGTGAAGAAAGGTTTCACCCAAGAAAAGTCGTCGGGAAGTCGCGGAGGTCCCACAGATGGTTGTGGATTTGGGACATCGACCAGTCGTAATCACACTCTATATTAGGCGTTCTGCTGGCATTGCATCATGGCTATAAAAAGGAGATTTGACATGTGAAAAACTGATGTGAAAAATAAGAAAAAGATGGAAGATTGGGAAATCTTGTTAATACCTGAGCGATGAGCTCCCGATGAGATCCGTGAACCCGTCTAACTAACTGATAAGAGCCGATCCGAGAAGGTAGCTCCATCAATGGTGCTACCGTCGTGCACAACTCGTATACATCGCATCGGTTGAGTTGCACTTTTACGCCCGGTCATATCGTCGATACGATCAACCGAAGCGATATCTTTGACCGCCACTGAAAACGTCGACTATATGGGACTTCTCAAAAGCATTGTCCAGGCAGGTCTCTGGGTCCCGGGGCTACGAATGTGTACTGTTTGGGAGACCATAACTGAGGTATGGCGAAAACATCATTCATATGATCCATTCCAAGACGAGAAATCTCTAGCTCTCGTCCAATACCGTGCTTTAGGCTTTGACTGTCTCTGGAAACAGTACAACAGTCAACAAAAAATTACAGTTGTATTTTTCAGCCACAAACGGATATGAGTTGATGCTTGAGCATTGGCACAGTCAAGGCCTTTTAATCAGTTTTCATATGAGAGATGTCCGATACGTCCGTTTTGCTCAATTTTCGCGTATCTTTTCTGACATTTCCAACATGTGAAACTTCCCCTACATAAGGATCGGAACCAGTATACGTGAAACACGACACATCTGACGCATCCAATTCCAAAAACAGTACTGATCTATGAGTACCCTTGAATACACTCAAGAACAGGCAAAAACACAGTCAGTACCTTCCCCTTTAGGCCTCGGACAGAGTTCACGCGATTTGATCGTCGCGATTTAATCGCCGCGATCATTCATTTTCATTTTACGTTCAAAAATTTCGAGCTGGAAAAGTATCACAACCGAAATGCAAGCTGGTCGGCATGCAATGAACTCATAACAGTTGTCTTGTAGCGATTGAATCGCGACGATCAAATCGCGTGAACTCTGTCCGAGGCCTTATGCGGGGTTTTCTCTTTGACTTGTTGTCGGAAGGTGAAGCTCTGCTTCAAAGCATTCTTTCGATTTGTTCGGTTGCTCAATGGATGGCTCCAAAAAATTTCGCAATTCACCGAAATGATGGGCATGATTCAGGTCATACAGCAACTACTCCTGCTAGGGGAATCATTTGAAGATTAAAGAAATTAACATTTGCTTGCGCAAAGGAGAATGAAGACATGCAAAGACAAAGTGTTAAGGTGATTGTTTGGCAAAAATCTGTTCTGCGTAAGAAGCATCCTTACGTCAGAATAAAAATAGACAGCTGCAGCGATAAGATAAGAGAGCGAACAATTACTGGCAGCTAAGTAAGAAAGGCAGACTCAAATCATGAAAAAAAACAAAGAAAAAACGTTTGGGAAGTAGTTTGAAACAACCAAGTATGATAAACGACTTTGGAAGGCGGCCAAAAGCTAACGAAGAAAGTATTCTGCATATACAGAAATAAATTGCCTGCTTAGAGCTTCTTTCACAGGCTCACCCAGGAATCTTATTGGCTGTCAGCACAACGAAAATTTTTTGGAAGGATAGAAGAGAAGCAAAAATTTTGTGACAATGATTTTATACTTTCACATGATTCCTCATTATTTTAGGATTTCCGACTTTTGAATCTTTGAGCGAAATTTCACTTTTATTGGTACATATGATAGCGAGATGGTTATTATTTTTGCTATACCTTTAATAATTGAAGTTATTTCGAAGACATCAAAAAATTGCGCAAACGTAACTAATGCTGCAGAGTGGCACTCATCTGACCAGTTCCAAGTTGATTATTTTTTTTAATCAGTTCCCGCTTCCACAACTCCTTCATCTTCCAATATGGAAGTGTCTATAGTAACTCTTCCAATGTGGTTAAGCTATTAGGTTGTCAAGAAAATAATGTCGGTTTTTATTTGCTTGCTTTAACAAAGCAACCAGACTCAACCCAACAAAGGGTAAGGGGTACTGTTCGAGAGAGCAAAGCAAGCTCTACAAGATGGCACTCATGTCTTTGCGCCATGCTCGATCCACGGAGGGTTCGAACTCAAAATCTAAAGATCTCCAAATGCCCAAAAAATCGAAAAAAATCAGATCTTCGTCCAAATAATTCTTACGCACCTCCCACTCGCCCACATCAATACTATTGATATCTGATATCCATATGTGCGATTGTCGTATTTTTTCCTTGACTAGAAACTGAGAAAACGAAAATTTCCCTCAGTTTCTCAAAGCAATGCTGAGCCG